ACCAAGCGGAGGCTTGGGGACCGCTTTGCAGAGCACCTACGCTTGGTTCGCATGAAACAACTGCACCTCCCAGTCGCGAACCATTTCAACTCCCCCTCCCATTCCTCAGACGACATGCCCATCCTGGCCCTCCTGCAGTGCCACAACGATGCTACCCGAAGGTTGCAGGAACAGCAACTCATATTCTGCTTGGGAATCCTGCAGCCCAATGGTATCAATGTGGATTTCACAAGCTTCAAAATTTCCCCTCCCCCTACCACATCCCAAAACCAGCCCAACTCGTCCCCGCCTCCCTAACCTGTCCTTCCTCCCACCTATCCCCTCCTCCCACTTCAATCCCCACCCCCATCTCCTACCTACTAACCTCATCCCGCCCCCTTGACCTGTCCGTCCTCCCCGGACTGACCTATCTCCTCCCTACCTCCCCACCTACACTCACCTTTACTGGCTCCATCCCCGCCTCTTTGACCTGTCTGTCTCCTCTCCACCTATCTTCTCCTCTATCCATCTTCTATCTGCCTCCCCCTCTCTCCCTATTTATTTCAGAACCCCCTTCCCCTCCTCCATTTCTGAAGAAGGGTCTAGGCCTGAAATGTCAGCCTTCCTGCTCCTCTGATGCTGTTTGGCCTGCTGTGTTCATCCAGCTCTACACCTTGTTATCTCTCTTTAATGTGACACCATTTGAAAGATTTTGAAACACATCATAAAAATACAACCTCATCTATCCCAACACCATCACTTTACAGCACCCAAATACTACAGAGAGTGTTTGCTTTCTATAACCAAAATGTTTAACTTAACAGTTTCTTTCATTTCCTGATCTTGAGAGTTTGGTAGCCTCTTCCTCGATTAGTCTCAGAAATGAATTTAGACTTTCTCAATTTCAAGTAACTACTTAAGGGATCTAACCAAACGCTTTTGCAATGGAAAATTCAAACTAAAATCCTTAAACTGAGGTAAATTATTTCTCAACAGATCTAAACGATCTCCTTTCTTCAGGAGAAACTGTCTCTCAAATCTAATTTCGGCCGGGACCTCTGCAAATCGAAATCAAAAGTTTCCAGGCTGTGCAGTTTTCCCCTAAACAAAGCCACAAGTCTGATCGTTCTAAACAGAGAACAAGCTCATGATCATCAATGTTTACCCATAAAACTCTTCCCAGTGCTAACACGTTTCCATTTCCACCCCAGGAAGTCACTGTCTCGTAATAGTTTTAAAAAATATCATAACTCCAGAAATACAGACATGTTAGTCAAGAATTTGGGAGGTGATGGCATAGTTGTATTGTCACTGAATTGGCAATCCAGAGATCCAGGGGACTCGGGTTTGATTCCAACCACAGCAGATGGTGTAATTTGAATTCAGTAAATATCCCAAATTAAAATTCTAATGATTACAATTGCTGATTGTTGTAAAACTCATTTGGTTCACTAATGTCCTGTAGAAAAGGAGACCTGCATGAGCTGTCCTCTGAAATGGTTGAGCAAGCCTCTCAGTTGTATCGACCACTAGTAAGTCTCAAGAAAAGGAATAAAAGCAGACAGAGCACCTAACATTGACTAAGGCACCAGAAACAGCAAACACAGCCCTGTTGACCCTGCAAAGTCCTCCTCTCTAACATCAGGGGACTAATGCCAAAATTAAACAATGGAACTAAGCAAATTCACAACAAACAGATTGGATCTAAACTCCTGCAATATTCAGTCATGAGTAATGGTGGACAATTAAACAACTCACTGGAGGAGGAGGCTGTACAAAAACTCCCATCCTTCATATGGCGGGAGCGTAGCACATCAGTGCAAAATATAAAGCTGAAGCATTTGCAATAATCTTCAAAAATGATGAATGGATGATCTGTCTCTGCCTCCTCCAGTGTTTCCCAGCATCACAGATGCCACATTTTGTCAAATCCAGCTTTAATATCATGTTGCTGGTAATGGAGGGCTTGAGTTATAAGGAGAGGCTGGATGGGCTAGGACTTTTTTCACTGGAGCGTAGGAGGTTGAGGGGTGACTTTATAGAGGTTTATAAAAGCATGAGGGGTGTAGTTAAGGTGAATGGGTACAGGATTTCAAAACCAGAGGCCTTATTTTTAAGTTGAGAGGAAAAAGATTTACAAAAAGACGTGGGGGCAACTTTTTTACACAGAGTAACTCGTGTGTGGAATGAATTTCCAGAGGAAGTGGTGGATGTGGATACAGTTACAACATTTAAAAGACATTTAGATAAGTAGATGAATAAGAAATGTTTGGAGGGATATGGACTAAGCACAGTTAGGTGGGATTAGTTTAGTTTGGGATTATGGTTAGCATGGACTGGTTGGACTGAAGGGTTTTTTCCAAGCTGTATGACAATATAACAGTCACTCTCACCTCACCCCTGAAATCAAGCTCTTTTTGTCCATATTAGAACCATGTAATGGGATTTAGAGCTAAGTGGCCCTGGCTGAACACAAACTGAACATCAGTGAGCAGGTTATTTGATGCACTCAAAGAAATTGCTGAAGACACTGGATATTACAACATTCTGGCAATAGAACTGAAGACTTGTGCTCCAGAACTTGCTGTGACCAAGCCAAGCTGATCCAGTACAACACTGACATCCACCCAACAATGTGGAAAGTTGCACAGGTATTTCCTGTACACACAAAGCAGGACAAATTCAACCCAGCCAATTACCACCCCATTAGCCTACTTCTGGTCATCAGTAAGGTGATGGAAAGTGTCATCAACAGTGTACTTTCAACAGCATTCACTTAGCAATAACCTGCTCACTTCCTTGACATTAAGGCTGGATTTGACAAAATGTGGCACCAAGGATCCCAAACCATAATGAAGTTGATGGAAGTCTGTTGGAAAACTCTCTGTTGGTTGGAGTCATGAGTGGTACAAAAGAAGATACGGTTGTTTGAGGCTAGCCATCTCAGTTTCAATATATCTGTAGAAGGGTTTGTCAGGGTAGTGTCCTAGGCCCAACCATCTTGAGCTGCTTCATCAATTGCTTTCCATCCATCATAAAGTCAGAAATGGGGATGTTCACTCATGATTGCACAATGTTCAGCACCATTTGTGACTTCTCAGATACTGAAGCAATCTGTGTCAATTGCAGCATAGCCTGCACAATATCCAAGTTCAGGCTGACAACTGGCAAGCAACATTCTCATCACACAATAGTTCGGAAATGACCATATCCAACAGGAGGGAATCTAGCTATCATTTCTTGACATTAAGTGGCATTACCGTTGGTGAATCCTTCACTATCCTGGGAGTTACTATTGACTAGAAATTGAACTGGACTAGCCAGATAAATAGTATGGCTACAAGAGAAGGTCAGAGCCTAGGAGTTCTGCAGTGAGCAACTCACCTACTGAATCCCCAAAACCTGTCCATCATCTACAAGGCACAAGTCACTTATGTGACGGGATATTCCACACTTGCCTGGATGAGTGCAGCTCCAACAACAATACTGAAGAAATTGGACACCATCCATGTCAAAGCATGCCACTTGATTGGCACCACATCAATAAGCATTCAATGTTTCTACCACTGATGCCCAGTTGCAGCAGTGTATACCATTTCTCAGATGCATTGCAGAAATTCAACAAGGCCCCTTAGACAGCACTTTCCAAACTTGTGACTACTTCCATCTGGATGGATGAGGGCAGCACAGATACATGGAGACACCACCACCTGCAAGTCCCCCTCTAACCCACTCGCCTCCTAGCTTGAAAGTAAGTTCCTTCACTGTCATTGGGTCAACATTCTAGAACTCCCTGCCTAATGACATTGTACCTACAAATGGACTGCAGTGGTTCAATTCGGCAGCTTGTTACCACTTTCTCAAAGGTCACTAGTGGATGGGCAATAAATGCTGGTTCAGCCAGTATGCCCACATCCCATTTAAAAAAATAAACTCATACATTCAGACCATAACCCACACTGCGCTTAAAACTCCAAGCTCTGAAATAAATTATATTAAAATATGTGAATCATACACCTTACATCCCAAATGGGAGTACAAAAAATTGGAACCTTTACCAGCTACACAATATGCTGGAATTATAAAAAAACTTTTCCAGTTACAAATTTGTGAAACAAATACAATGTAATAGTCAGATTTCAGTTGATAATCAATGTCTTTCTCCTTCCACAGACATGACCACAAATAAATTTACTGTTAAATATTCAACCATTCAGGAATGTCACTGTATGAGGGAACATGTTTGGATGGAAAATTGATTTAACAAATCATACCTATGTACTCTCCATGCTTAAGTCTCCAATACAATATATCCATTACTATTCCTGTTCGACCAGTTTCCTGTGGTCTATTCAAAATGATTTGTTTTCTTTCGTGTTTAATCAAACAAACTTTTAAGTTAGAAGTATGCATTTACTAATAGTTTCATGTTTTACCTGTATTTTTGGGGCTTCAGAAAGGAATCACCTCAAATGAAGTAATGGAATCCTGTAGTGATTAGGTAAACATAGAAACAGAAAATAGGAGCGGGGAGTAGGCCATTTGGCCCTTTGAACCTGCTCCACCATTCAATATGATTATGGCTGATCATCCAACTCAGTACCCTGTTTCCACTTTCACCCCATACTCTTTGATTTTTTTAGCCCTAAGGACTATACGTAACTCCTATAAATCATTCAATGTTTTGGCCTCATCCTGTGGCAGAAGGTAGTTGGGAATTTTCCAAAATTACTGATGACATGCTGAGGGGATTAATTTGTTTCGTACTGATGTTAGGACAGTCGCAATTAGAAACAGTTCAAAAGACTATTTTCTGTTCAATCCTGCTTTTAGCTGGAATAAAAAAATCAAGCCCTGTATGTTTTAACAGAAACAGTATTGAGTTTGAGGTTCTATTTGTGAAATTTGTTTTTACAAATTGATGCTGAAATCAGCAAAACATTGTATTTGAAACATGAAAAACATTGAGCTTGTATGATTAGAAGTTTCATTTTCTGTACAATTTATCTTTATTCTTCTAGGTGCAATACAGTGATATGCAGAACGGCAAAGAATGTATGACATACCTGACACTGTCACCTGTGCAAATAACTTTTCATGGCATTGGAAGCTCCATTGAAGCCAGCCGTGATCAGGTAACCAAAAATGTAACCTATATTAAAATTGATTGTATTAATATATCTTTCATTTCCATTTCCTAATGTGTCCATTTAGACTAAACGGGCAGGTTGGCGATCACAACCTGCAAGGCATCATCGCGTAGAAATGCTCTATGGAATGCTGAAGTGTGGAAACCTTGATATTTTTCATCCTTTTGATTACTTAGCCTGACCAACACAGTATTAGAAAACATGGAGAATCCATTATTAACAAAGACTGCAATTTAATTCTTGAACTCTCAATGCATTGTTCAGTAAAGGATAGGTTTTTTTTGCCATTTGTCCGATTTAACTTTATTTTAATAATTATGACTGAAAGATTAATCTGTTTAGCTGATCAGAGCATACTACTTACGGGAATTTTGTACAAGTCATTACAGAGGAGTTGGTATATGGACAAAAGTGCTCATTTACACCAGAGTTGGAAACATTGCAGAAATTGAAACTGAATTGAAATCTTACTATTCCTGAATTAATTACAGTAAAGTACTATCAAGATAAAATCATTTTCATTTCAGCATTTAGATAAGAGGACTAGATTCATTGTTGATTCTCACTGAAGCATGAAATTAACTCCATAGAAGATAGAGTCCACTGTGCTCATATGTTATTATTCTAAAGCTTCATATTCTGTTGAAGGTTTCTCATTACAGTTAATAGATTTATTATTCTATATTGTAAATGAGTAACAATTTTCATTATGATGATAAATGATTTGTTAAATATACCTGGCTTTTGAAATTAGTGTTGCATGAAGAATGCTTGAAATAAATTGGTGCCAGAAAGATTGGAAAATTGCCCCGTCCCCTCAAACCCCGTTCCAATAAAACAAAATAGCTATTCACCTCCAGTCATGAGAGTGGACAATATAGATTTGTAATTGGCTTTTGATATCAGTCATCTCTGCACCAGAGATCTAATACTTTCAGAGAAGAGAGACAAGGGCAATTACTCAAACATAATTAATGGTTTGTCCCTTGCCCTCCCGTCTCCCTCCGCCCAGCCTTCCAATTGCATGGTTAAAGACTAGAAAAGCTAATCATTAAATGTATAAGAAATAGGTTTGACAATTAGTTGCCTAAGATGAAATTAGTGATTACAGGGGCTGAAAATTCCTTTGGTTATTGGTCCAAATGTGTTCTTTTGAGGTGGTTTAAGTTTGTTAAAATACCAGTCAGGATTAGTTAAAAATTAGAACAAAATTGTTTCGCTTTGGTAATCTTTTCCATTGTACTGTATCAAAACTTGTTAAATATAATAAAAAGGTTCTCAGGGAATGTAAACATTCTGAGATTGTGAATTACTGGGAAGAATGGGAGAAAAACAAGAACTACGTGACTGAATGACTAGATGGTAATGTTTTCAATGGTCTAGTACTTCACTCTAAGTATTGACAGTACATGGTACAGTCGTGATACAACTTGCTTTATGTGTTATTTGAAATATAGGTGTAGCTTCTAATGCTTGTAAATCACTCAGCAGTGACAAAATATCTTTTCATAGAATAGTTCTGTTAATTTGACTGGATCTGGTATAGTCATAGACTCACGGAATACCTACAGAGCAGAAAGAGGGCATTCAGCCATCAAGTCTGCACTAACACTCTGGGGAGCACCCCACCCAGACCCCAACCCTATTCCTGTAAGTCAGCATTTACCTTGGCTAATCCACCTAGCCTGCGCATCTAGGCACTGTAGACAATTTAGCATGGCCAATCCACCTAACCTCCGCATCTTTGGACTGTGGGAGGAAACTGGAGCACCAGAGGAAACCCATGCAGACACAGGGAGAACATGCAAACTCCACACAGACAGTCACCCAAGGCTGGAATTGAACCCGGGTCCCTGATGCTGTAAGGCAACAGTGCTAACCACTGAGCCACCATGTTATCTAGTCATTAGCTAAATTGGAAGTTGGAAGAAATGTTAATGAATGATTTGTCATCAGAATAGTTTCTGTAATTCTATGAATTGGATACAATTAAATTAGTCATATTTATTTTATATACACTATATTATGTTCTTCTATTTAGCTGATGTATTTCACTTCTGCAGAGATTTAAAAGCAACTTTTGAGAAAGTATCACTGATGCACTTAAATACAGTCCAGTGCAGTTTTCCCAGCTTTTTCCTGTGCTAAGAAAAACTCTCAATTTTTCTACTCCTCTTGATGGTGCATTGTTTGTTTTAACATCCTTCTTAAGTGATGGCATCCAGTCTAAATAACAATGGTTTCATCTTTGTTCTAGAGCTTCATGAGAAAATTAACCACTTTTTTTTGTTGAAATTTGGCCTCTTCAATTTTTAGATCTGATTTCCCTAAGCCACACATTAACAGTGGTTGAGATGACAGAAGGACAAATTCCTCACAATCTTCTATGGTGCTATACTCAGTAAGAGAGTAGTAAGGGAACCATTTTTATCATATTTGCTGTGTGAAGTTGTGGGTCCCATACACCATTGCATCATTAAACCACTGTGTCACATTTGTTCTTGCCTCGTTCCATTTATGACCAGTTCTTATTTGTCTCCCTCACTCTCCACCAAACTCCAACCCCTAAAACAATCAGGGCGCATTCCACATGCTGAAGATTGGGATCTTCAATTTAGAATCAAAGCTGCACAATACAGTATATTTTACTGTACCTGTCAATGGCATTTAAATGTTTTCTTTAATCATTGTGTGGAAAACAAACAAAAATATTGGGTTCTTGAAAGTGTAAAATAATAAAGATATGTGTAGTGAAAGAAAGATTAAGTTTGTTGCATGGTCTATTGACACCTGTTTATTATCTGGACAATCACTGACAGTTCTGATTCATGACTGAGTGATTGCTGGACTGGTCTTCAAATGAACCCTGTGGAGAGCTCTTCTACCACCTACTGAATGCAGATTGTTTGAAGTTTCTTTTAAACATTTCTGAGACATTAGTGCAGCAGGACACCTCCAAAGGGGTTCTTAATGTCACTAAGTCTGCAGCTGTTGAAACCTTTACACTCTGGAACAAGCTTTCCTTTTCCTTAACATCTGCATTTCAGTTAAAATTACTGGTAGTAACTTACTTCAGTCACGTAAAATAATTACAAAATAAATCTGTTATGAGAAAGAAAGCTTTTTTTGTTGTGCGTAACTCAGTAGTATATCTTAATATATCTTCCATAGTTCACATTTCCAGAAGGAATATTATTATACTAATAAAGGGTACAATTTCAGAGAAATTGTGATGACTCATCACTATCAGAAGGACTTGATGTACTCTTAGTATTAGGAACACAGTTGTTAGTTTCAATGTTGTGTATAGCCTGCATTTCAGAATTCTGAGTGCAGAAGTAGAAATTTAGGAAATATTATTTAAAGCAGAGTAACTGACTTTTAGAGATTATGCTTCCAACCAGGGAGGGGTAATGCTGGCAAATCTATAAGACTGGGGGATGGGGAGTGCTGGTAAACGTGGCAAGTCTGTGAGAGTGCTGGGAGTGGGCTGCCGAGAGTGCTAAGTGCAAAGATTGATGATCCAGAAAATGGAGCAAACAGCATTCCAGATGCAGCCAACCTAGAATGCAAGACAGTGGCTCAGCTATGAGATAGTCCCAGGAGATTAGGGACAGTTGGTCACCCTGATTTAAAAGGTATTCAGTAATCAATGGTAATTATTGCAATCTGTCATCAGAGTGTGCTCAACAGTGTAAAGCATCAGTGCTGATATGTTATATATTTTGATTGTCAAGGGGATCAAGGGTTACAGGGAGAAAGCAGTAGAATGGGGTTGAGAAATTTATCAGCCATGATTGAATGGCGGAGCAGCTTCACTGGGCTGAATGGCCTAACTTCTGCTTCCATGTCTTATGGTCTTATTAAATTGCACCCTCATGGAGCTCCTGACATAGAGACACAGCTAGAAAATGCCTGACAAGTTTAACCTTCCAATGGTAAGGACCCTCCCCAAATATTTCTAACCCAAAGTTTAGGATGGAGATTAGGACTGGGGATTTGCCTGCATACATACGCTATGTATGTGTGGTTAGCCAATGTTAGCTCAACTGAGCAACACAACTTTTGACAACCACACAACGACCTTTCCACCCTGAGCTGATCCAACTAGCCCCCTCACACCACCAGACACCAACCCCAGCCTGACCTGAGTGCTTCCATCTGGAGGACCCCTCATCTACCTTTCCAACCAGACCCAATAACCTGATAAGCCTCCCGACAATTCACTGTCCAACAGCTACCTCACTACTGACCCAATTACCCACCTCACCCACCTATCCACCTATCATTTGCTCACCCACTCACCCATTCATTGACCCACAATCATTCGTTAAAAGACTTGAGACATCTAATAGCCTACCTGAATGCTTCAGCTACTGTTGTAAAAGGGGGTGTTCCTACCTTTCCCTGATTTGCCTTTACTCACCGGACTTAGCCGGCGTGCTGCCCACATTTGCTTCAGCCAGCATTGGAAGACACAAATGGAAATGTGTAGTATTATGGGTAAGAGAAAATCCAAACAGCAGTGCTGCTCCTGACGAAAAGGTGTGGATCTCTGTCATTAATGAAAAGCATTAAGATCCTCTATGCTCTGCTTGCCTATACTTAGAGTAAATTAGACTTATATCCAGCAATTTTGTACCTATACTTCTAATCTCATTGGTTAGTCTCTTTAATTCCCAACTGTCGCACCTTAATTGCTGAATAGTCATACAGTGGCCATACCACAGTGTGTCATAAGCAAGCTACACAAATTGAAAATTTGGTGTTTTAAAATGCATGTATTATACCTTCAGAAGGTTGGCACACTATTTTTTGGTGTACCTGGTGCTGTTTTTGATTTAACCAAGGTTGGTTTTCTGATTTTATGATACTGGTAGAATGAGGGGCTTCGTCTCTCTAAGTACTGCAAAGTACTCCCAACAATATCGCATGAACAGATGCATCTGCAACAGATAAAATAGAGAGGGTGAGATCCAGTAGAT